AATGCCTAGCTATCTGAATTTTAAGAGCAAACAGCTTGGCCAAGCTTGCACAACTCTGTTATGTAAAGCAGAATTTGAGAACTCCTGATTATTGGGACAACCAAGGAAAAGCTGAGTGAAAGGCACAGGTGGCAACAGGGGAGCCCAGGGGTTTCACAGGGGCGGAGCAGGCAAGAAGAAATCCACTACTAGCCTGCAGGACTCATGGTGGGCTGAAGGCTCCTACATGGAGAAGGGCAGCAGCACTGGCTTTTACTCAGTCCTTGCACTGAGTGCCCTCTGCTCTGCCCTCCACCCTCTATCTGACAATGCTGTCCACTCCTGAAGATAGGCCACCTTGAGGATTCAGAAACATTCCAAAAGGCCTAGCTCCAGTCCTGCTCACTGTGTCATCTCGTGCCCGGTTTCAATATCTTGGCTCGCCACAGTCTAGTTGTTCAGGATTCAAGCCACATCTCTCTTGGGCCTCTAACGGCTCCTCCAATCTCATCTGATCTACACCCCTTGTCACCCCAGGTAGGCAAGCTTGCCTCTCAATCTCTGTGCCTTCACAGACACTGCTCCTCCCTTCCCGTTCTGGAGAATGCTTCCTCACCACCTCCAGGAAGCCTTTTTCCCCTGGCTGCTCTGGCCAGGAGTCAACTGCCTCAAAGCCCTCGGGCTGTCCTAGCTTGCCTAGCTCGCCCCAGAACAGTCAATGGCATCCTTCTACAACAATGCACTCAATGTGATACTTTCCTACTAAAAAAACAAAACACTTTCGCATCTCAATTTGATGTCATCCCCACCTCCTCTTCACCTACCCTTTCATCTTTCTCCAAACTGTTTTTATTTGCTTCTCAATGTAATTTTTTTATGTTAATTCTTTATAATATCTTGTTTTAAAAATTCAAAGACTAGGGCCCAGCGTGATAGCATAGTGGTTAAAGTCCTTGCCTTGAATACGTAGGGATCCCATATGGGCATTGGCTCTAATCCCAGTGGATCCACTTCCCATCCAGCTCCCTGCTTATGGCCTGGGAAAGCAGCCAAGGACAGTCCAAAGTCTTGGGACCTGCACCCTCTTGTGGGAGACCCTGGGTTTGGATTGGCTCAGCTCCAGCCATTGTGGCCACTTGGGGAGTGAACCATCAGACAGAAGGTCTTCCTCTCTGTCTCTCCTCCTCTCTGTATATTTATCTGCCTTTGCAATAAGATTAAATAAATCTTTTCTTTTTTTAAATTCAAAGACTATGTACATGTATGGGGTATACAAAATTGGGTGAAGTCCACTCAGGGTAAAGATATGTACACTTCAAGCACTTAGCTTTTTTAAAAAAATTTATTTATTTACAGGGCTGGTACAGTGGCACAGTAGGTTAAGCTTATGCCTGAGATACTGGCATTCCATATGGGTTCTGGTTCAAGTCTGGGCTGTTCCACTTTCAATTCAGCTCCCTGCCTTGTGGCCTGAGAAAGTAATGGAGGAGGACCCAAGCCCCTGGACCCTAGCATCCACATGGGAGACCCTGAGTAGGCTTCTAGATATGGACTTTGAATTTCCTGGCTTTGGACTGGCCCAGACATGGTAGCCATTTGCATACTAAATCAGCAGATGAAAGATCTCTCTCTGTGTCTCCCTCTCCCTGTAAAAAAAAAAAAAAATCAACTTTAAAAAAACATGATTTATTTGAAAGTTAGAGTTACACAGAGAACACAGAGAAATGGACACACACAGAGAGACGGAAATAAAGAGAGATAGAGAGAACTTACACGCTCTAGTTTATTTGCTAATGGCCTGAAGAGTCAGCTCTGGATCAGGCCAAAGCCAAGAGCCAGGAGCTTCGGGTGGATCTCCTACATCACTGACAGAGGCTCAAGTACTTGGGCCATTTTCTTCTGTTTTTCCCAGACTGTTAGCAGGGAGCTGGATCAGAAGTAGAGCAGCTAGGACTCGAACCAGTGCCCGTAGGGGATGCCAGCATCACAGGTGGCAGCTTTACTCACTATGCCACAATGCCAAGTGCCCATTTACCACATTTTTTTTTACAGTAAAAGTATCCAAAAATAGCATCTTCTACTTTTTAATTAGAAAAATAAACAGTAACATTGCCTATTTTCATCAGACCATGCAATCATTAACATGTAATATTTACACTTTTTATGTGATACACTGGAGTGGTTCGACACAGGCATACGGCATAGACTGATTCGATCAGACCATTAACACTTCTGTTTCTTTATCATTTCTTTATACTTGAGGCCTACCAGCTAGCTCCTCTCTTATCGTTTTTCATGTAGCAGCTAGCATACTGCTGAGTGTTACAGCTGTCCCACTGTGTTGGGAACACTAGAACATTCCCTTCTCCCTAACTGTGGTGCCCCCTCTGTGTCCCCACTCAGCTCCCAGTAACCACTGTCCTAAGTTCAGGTCCACTTTATTTAATCTGCCCCAGGTGAGGCCATGTGGTACTTGTCTTTCTGGATTTGGCTTCTCTCTCATGTCACCTCCAGCTCTACGAACCTGCAATGCAATGCACGAGGTTTCTCTCCCCTGCCCCAGGGCTTCCCTCCTTCCATCTGGATAATTTTAACTCTTCTGTCAGAACTCAGCTGAAACCTCCCTCTCCCTTTTTTTCTAGAAAACTCTCCTTGGCCACTGTGCTAGTTTTGGTGGTGCCTATCACAATAGTTATTTTAGAGCTAATTATGAATTTTAAACAGTTATTATTAAAAGAATTTAGACAGCCTTGATTTCAGGGAACCACGGTCACGGCCTTCCCTTCCCCATGCAGCAGACAGACAGATGTGAGGAGTGGGCTGCAGAGGAAGAAGAGTGAGAAAGAGACGGGGAAGGGGCTTTTTATACTCTCCTTGACACAGAAGCCAAGATGGGGTCACCTTGGCCATGATTGGTGGAGGGGGGTATGGGTCTGTGCCCCTCAATGGTGCAACAGTGGTGCAGAGGGGCTCGCCAAAATTCTGCCATCCATTCGGGGTTTAGTTGGAGGCAAACTCTGCCCTTCTCCGGCCACCGTGGTAGCCATCAGAGAGATCTTCCATCTGCTGATTTGCTCCAGAAATGGGTACTGCCTCCCCAGTTGTATTAGCTTAAAAATGGATTGGAAGGGGCCTGGCAGCGTGGTCTAGTGGCTAAAGTCCTCACCTTGAACGCACGGGGATCCCATATGAGCACCGGTTCTAATCCTGGCAGCTCCACTTCCCATCCAGCTCCCTGCTTGTGGCCTGGGAAAGCAGTGGAGGACAGCACAAAGCTTTGGGACCTTGCACCCGCTTGGGAAACCTGGAAAGAAGTTCCTGGCTCCTGGCTTCAGATCGGTATAGCACCAGCTGTTGTGGTCACTTGGGGAGTGAATCATTGGACGGAAGATCTTCCTCTCTGTCTCTCCTCCTCTCTGTATATCTGACTTTGTAATAAAAATAAATAAATCTTTTTTTAAAAAGTGGATTGGAAGGGCTAAAGTTCTTGCCTTGCATGCACCAGGATCCTATATGGGCTCTGGTATGTGTCCTGATGGCCCCACTTCCCATCCAGCTCCGTTTATGGCCTGGGAAGGCAGTGGAGGACGACCCAAGGCCTTGGAGCCCTTTACTCATGTGGGAGATCCAGCAGAAGCTCCTGGCTTCTGGCTTCAAATTGGCTCAGCTCCAGCCATTGCAGCTGCCTGGGGAGCAAGTCAGCAGGCGGAAGATCTTCCTGTCTCTCTCTCCTCCTCTCTCTATATATGTGACTTTTCAATAAAATTGAATAAATCTTTTTTTTTTTTTAAGAGGATTGGAAGCAGTACAGTCAGCCGACAAAAGGGCACTCCCATGGTGGATGTTGGCTCTGATTATGAATGATTGAATGTCTGTCTCTCCCTACAGAGGGACCATGCCTGTCTCCTTCATCACCTAGAGCAGAACCTGGCATACAACAGGTGCTCAAGGAGTGCTTGGTCTTTACATCACATAAATCTCCAGCTTACTCAGTGTCTCTAACACTAGCCTGGGACTTCCTCGAGGAACTGGCCAGAGGCTCAGCCTGGCCCTTTGTGGGCTTCCGAAAAGGTGTTTCCTGAGCATGGGAGACCTGTGATGTGCTGCCCAAATGCCCCATCCCTGAGGACTTGGGACCAGCACCAAGCCTTTAGCTGTCAGCCCCTACAGGAATAGGGCCCTCTTGCCACCTGTCACACGCTTGCCTGGACAGTTCTACATCACAAGGATTGATGAAGGCAGTGGCATCAAGGTCTGCCCATTTTAACTCCTGGTGGTTGTGGGCAGGGAGTGGCTCAGAGGGGCCATTCCAGTGCCAGGATCCACATATGGGGTCAGCTAGGACAGTCGTTGGGGCTGCATGGAGCTCTCTGTTCCTCCCTCTGTCACTCCTGCCCACTCCCACTACAGATGTGGATGCCAAGGGTGCCCCCTCCTTAATGTCCAGCTCTACAACCTTTGTCTTCCCAGGAACTCAACACGCCACAGACCCTGGCCGCTTCTCCAAGCAATCCCCTCAACCAACATTCATTCATTTCTCTAAATGTGTAGGTATCATTTTGCCGTTCCTGTTTTACATTCCTTAATCAATGGATTGGAGGTGAGGGTGAGGTGTGGAGGACCTGGAGGCTGGCTCCACTATCCAGAGACACAAACTGCCCCCCTCCCCTGAGCGGTGGCATCCCTAGCTTCCAGGTCCACTGCTCTAATTAGAAGCTCTTGTCTGCGACCACATTTCCGCCTCCCTTTCTGCCCCAAAAGTTGCCGCCTCCTAGGACACGTCGGAGCCCCACCAAAGAAAATTCTAGTTCTGGTGGTCAGAACCTCCGGGGCAAGCTCTGGAAGGATTGGCGCCCCAGGGGACGGATTCCAGGGATTCTGTATGACAGACGGGGAAACTGAGGTCTAGTCAGAAGCTCCACCGCCAGCAAAGAAAAACGAGAAGGGGGCGCGTCCTGTCTCGCGGGCCGCCTCCTCCCACCTCCCCCCTCCACGCCGGTTCCCCACGCCCGGTCTTTGGGCCTTGCAACGCCGCCCCCTCGGAAGCGAGTCATGGTGGCGGCAGTGGCGGTGGCGTGGCTGCTGCTGTGGGCCGCGGCCTGCGCGCAGCGAGAGCAGGACTTCTACGACTTCAAAGTGGTCAACATTCGGGGCAAGCTGGTGTCACTGGAGAAGTACCGCGGCACAGTGAGTGCGGGTGCGCCTGGGGTTGGAGCGCCACCCGACAGGGCCTGCAGGGGTTGGGGGACGCCTGCAGTCTGGGGCGCGGCTCCAAGGGCGCAGCCGGCCCGGCTTCCCAGCGCGCTCCACCGGACTGCCTGCTCCTGGCGCCAGCCGGCTGTGTCCCTCCCGCGACTACGTGGCAAGGCCCTGGCTCGCAGTGAAACCTGAGACCCCCTCACTGCCGGCGCCCCCTGGGCTGCAGCGCCTGCCCTTAGCAGCCAGGCAGGCCTAGCCTCTGCATGGCCCCTGCGCCTGGCCTGGGGTCCCCAGGTTCCAAGTTCAGAACGAGGGCGTTGCTGCTGTAGAGCCCATCGGAAAACCCTGCACGGAGCCGTAGGCGTTACCATTTGTGGGTGCCGCGGGATCCTCACACAGAGAGTCCTGGAGACAGGGGGAGGTGTTTGCACAAGGCCAGAGTACTAGACAGCCACGAGCCTGGAAGGGACCCCCACTCCCCACTTCCTCTGGGGTCTGTTATTAGGCCAGCAGCCCTTTGGGCGGACTGGCGGGCTGGCCCTCCTTTACCAGGAAGGGCTCGCTGTGAGAGGGGTTTGCAGGGCTAACAGGCAACTGGCCTGGTCAAGGCTCAGCAGCAGACACCCCGGCAGGCAGGGGCGGGGAGAGGGGAGGAGGTTAAAGCCCCAGGCTCAGAGTGTGGGCAGTTGAGGCTGGAGGGATGTGGAGGATGGCTGTCTGTGGGTCATAAAGACTTCTCCTAGGCTGCCTCTCTGAATGGCTCTGGGGTCCCCCGTGTGACAAGGGCGCTGGCAGTTGAGCCTAAATGGACGAGGGCTGGGGTGTGCCCAGCATGGGATGGAGCACAGGAAAATGATGTCAGCCTTTTTTTTGTCCTAGGAGCAGGGCCATCCCCAGGGAGCAAGTGTTCTGGAAAGCTTGAAATTTTCATATTCTGCTGGAGTCATTCCCTACAGTCCTCCCCTCCCCGCGCCCCCCCCCCAACCTGTATGGTTCCACTTGAGACAATTGTGTGGAAGTTCTTGGGCCACTGAAGACTACACCAGGGCCCAAGGCAAAGGGCCAAGGCCAGGGGAGGGGTTTGCCCCCTCAGACATCAATGTACTACTTTCATGGAACTTATCTGTGGAAGAGAGAGACCGCACATAGGGAGACAGGAACAAGGTCATTTTCAGCTGTAATAAGCACTAAGACAGAAACTGCAAGGTCACACAGCTGCTAACAGGTGCAGATGGAGTCCTGCTACAGAGACCCTGGCCTTAGCAGCTGCTTGACTGCTTGCTGGCTCAGTCACCTGCAATCCTGTTCTGGCTCCTCTGACAGGCCTGGCACTGGGTCTGCCTCTTGGTGACACCCACGAGCAAGAGTGACACTGTCCTCAGCCTAATTGGGGCTTGGACCAGTGTGAGTCCAGATGCATGGGTGACCACTTAGGAAGGTGCTTGTGTACTGTACGGGGTTTCCTAGTGTGAGAATGGCTTATTTGCACACTTGCTTTGCATGTTTCAGAATCTGTCTGCTTGTGTAAGTATCATGCATGAGGTAAATCAATTATTGTTTGTATCTTTCTGTGTTTTGTTTCTAAAAATCAAGCGGTTGGTTTTGGAGCTGGAACCAGAAATAAGATTTCTCCCACTCAACACAGCAGATAGACATACAAGATGTGGGTTAATAAAGATAAGCAAGGGAGTTGGTGCAATGGTGCAGCAGGCTAATCCTCAGCCCGCAGTTCCAGAATTCCATAGGGGTACTGGTTCCCAGCTGCTCCACTTCTGAGCTGACTCTCTGCTTTTGGCTTGGAAAAGCAATGGAGGGATGGCTCAAGTGCTTGGGCCCCTGCACCCATGTGGAAAACCCAGAGAAAGCTCCTGGCTCCTTGCTCTGGAGTGAATCAGCAGATGGAAGGTCTGTCTCCTCTCTCTTTCTGTAATTCCAACTTTCAAGTTAAATAAATATTGAAAACAAAAAGATAAGCAAGCTGCAATGTTCTTATTGCCTCAGGATCTAGCAAGAGAAGAAAGAGGAAGACCCCTGGGCCCAGCACAATGGCTCAATGGGCTAATCCTCCCCTCTGCGAGCACCAGGATCCCACATGGGCACCGGTTCATGACCAGGCTGCTCCACTTCCCATCCAGCTCCCTGCTTGTGGCCTGGGAAAGCAGAGGTCAGCCCAAAGCCTTGGGACCCTGCACCTGCATGGGAGACCTGGAATAAGCTCCTTACTTCAGCTAAGCTCCAGCCATTGTGTCCCACTTGGGGAGTGAATCAGGAGATGGAAGATCACTTTTCTCTCTCCGTAAATCTGATCTTTCTGATAAAATAAAATAAAGAAATAACTTGCTAAGCCTCCACCCCCACAGCACCAGCATCCCAAACGGGTACTAGACTGTGGTCCCTGCATCCAAGGAGACCTAGAAGAAGCTCCTGGCTCCTGCTTTGGATCAGCTCAGCTCCAGCCATTGGGGCCACTTGAGGAGCAAACAAAGGACAGAAGCTCTTTTTCTCTTTCCTACTCTGTAAATCTGACTTTGCAATAAAAATAAATAAATCTTAAAAAAAAAAAGTGAATAAGAAGGAAGACCCCTGACTGAGGCAGAGCATACAGAGTCCCAGTTTTTACCATCCCAAACAGAATAGGGCAGAGGCTGGCCTCCTGTGGGGGGAACGTTGTTCTAAAGTCTGCGCCCCTGGGACTGGGTCCTTTCTCATCTGGCGGAAGCAGCAGGCTGGAGTTCCAGCTCAGTCTTAGCTGGGGGTGACTGTGCCTACGCCCCAGGGAACATTTAGGGATGTCAGGAGACATTTTGGTTATCAAAAGACTAAACAGCTAGTGGGTAGAGGCCAAAGGTGCTGCCAAATATCCTCCAGTGACCAGAAAAGGCTCCACAACAAAGAACTGTCCAGCCTGCAGTGTGAGGAGTGCTCAAGTGGAGAAACCTTTCTTACCTGGCCCAGTCTGGAGCTCCACTCACCCTGGGACCCTCTTCATGGGTCAGCTGCTGGAATCCCAAATAGAGGCCAGGGAGACAGGCTGTGGTGGCCAGGCATGGGGTCAGGTTTTATCTATATTTATTTATTCACTTAAGATTTATTTTTTCTTTATTGGAGAGGCAGATATACAGAGAGGAGGAGAGAGAGGAAGATCTTCCATCTGATGATTCACTCCCCAAGTGGCCTCAACAGCCAGAGCTGAGCTGGATTCCAAGCCAGGAGCCAGGAGCCAGGAGCCAGGAGCCTCCTCTGGGTCTCCTACATGGGTGCAGGGTCCCAAAGCTTTGGGCTGCCCTTTACTGCTTTCCCAGGCCACAAACAGGGAGCTGGATAGGAATTGGAGCTGCCGGGACACAAACTGGCACCCATATGGGAGGGATCCTAGTGCATGCAAGGTGAGGACTTAAGCCACTAAGCTACTGTGCCAGGCTCCTAGCGTCAGGTTTTAATCCTTTAGCAATATAGAATCAGAAGCTTATAATACAGCAGCAGCAACAAATGTGTAATTGTTGTATTATAATCCAGTAGTTCTATCAACCTACTTTATATTTATTGCCTTAAAGATTTTTCTAATGTAGGTTTGAGTCTAGTGACCAAAGAATATAACGTTTGCTGAAGAGGAAGGGACAAAAAGGGATTAGAGTCCTGGGATTCTCAGCAAGACAACCTGTGTCTGTGTCCCCAGCAGGTGTTTGTGTGCACACTCAAGCATCGAGCGGGTGCCTACTGAGAGTTTCCCATAAGTGCCCCAGGCCCAGAGAAGAAACAGAAACAGCTCCTGGCCTTAGTTGGTTCACATTCTAGAAGGACACGTGTACAGGCAACTACAGTGTAGAACGATACATGTGAACTGAGCTGAAAGCAAGCCCAGCTCTGGCCCTCTGCTCCCCCACAGGAGCTTCTCTGTGCTTGCCAGTATGCGTGCCTCTCACTGTGAACATGTCATGTTTGTGTGTGAGTGTGTGTGTGTCTGCATGCAACCATGTGTGATATGTATTTGCTAGTGTATGTTTATGGACATGCTTTCCCATTTACAAACACTGAGTCCTTAGCCTTCCAAGTATTTGTGTACATGGTACACATCTGGAAGCCCCTACATGGTGGATTTCACATGTTCCTGTGTTTGTGTGTCTGTGGGATCACTGCATACACAGCCACATAGGCCACCTGGGTTTTTTGTATTTGAAAGTCAGCATTCTCTACCTGTAGCACTGGCATCCCATATGGGTGCCAATTTATGTCCTGGCTGCTCCACTTCCCATTCAGCTACCTGTTAATGACCTGGGAAAGCAGCAGAGGATGGCCTAAGTCCGTAGGCTCCTGCACCCACATGGGAGACCTGGAAAAAGCTTCTGGCTCTCCGCTTTGGACTAGCTCATTCAGGCTGTTGTGGTCATTTGAAAGTAAACCAATGGATGGAAAAATCTCTGTGTCTCTCCTTCTCTCTCTGTAACTGTGCCTTTCAAACAGAAATAATCTTTAGGAGAGAGAGAATTGATGGTCAGAGGACTCACATATGAAGATTCTTGCAAAACTTTGTTAAGAATGCCCAGGGCTGGGCCAGGCCAAAGCCAGGAACATGGAACTCTATCCAGGCCTCCTGCAGGAGTGGCAGGGGCCTTGTCGCTTGGACCATCTTCTGTTGCTTTCTCAGATGCGTTAGTAGGAAGCTGCATCAGAAATGGAGTGGCCCAAACTCCACCTGGTGTTCCCACATGGGATGCTGGCCTCGCAGGCAGCAGTTGTTACCTGCTGTCACAACACTGACCCCTGGAGTGCCTCTGAATGCAAGCCCGTCAAGGCACGGACAGGTGTATGCCTCGCCACTGTGCTATGCATGTGTTTGAGCTGTATTTTGGTGTTTATTTATTGATCAGGTGTCTCTGGTGGTGAACGTGGCTAGCCAGTGTGGCTTCACAGACCAGAACTACCGAGACCTGCAGCAGCTGCAGAGGGACCTGGGTCCCCGCCACTTCAACGTGCTTGCCTTCCCCTGCAACCAGTTTGGCCAGCAGGAGCCCGACAGCAACAAAGAGATCGAGAGCTTTGTCCGCAGCACCTACAGCGTCTCTTTCCCCATGTTCAGTAAGGTAGCTGTCACAGGCACTGGTGCCCACCCTGCCTTCAAGTACCTGATAGGTGAGTCCTGGTCTCTGCCTCCCCTCGCCCTCCCCCAACTGGCTGAGGCTGTAGCTCCTGGGCAACAGAGGCCACTGGTTGGTTGGATGACTCGGGGCCTCTTCCCTTTGGTAAAACGCTTGGTGGCACATATACTAAAATTGGAACGGTAACCTTCTCAGGTGAGTTGATGCTTTGACTCAGCACTGAGTTTTGAGATTGGGAGCAGACACGAGCCGAGGAGGACTCCTCCCTAATAATGCTGGGTGCCTGATGCCTCCTAATTCTCCCTCCCAATCACTCCTCTCAGCTTTTCCACCATTCTTTGTTCCCAAAGACAGGGTGGGCTCCTTGAAAGGGACCAGGCCCCTCCCACATTAGCCAGTGTAAATCAGGTGAAAACAGTGTAAAACAGATGAGTTTATGTTTAAAAACCAAGGCGCAGACAGGGGGCACCCTATGAGTAGGGAAGGCTCATTGAAATGGGTGACAGGTGGTTCCTGTCCTAAGTCAGGCAGGGGCCTGTAGGCCATGGGAAGGAAACCCATGGAGTTAAAATACCAAACCTAAAACTTTCCAGTCCCAGCTGGTCCAGCCAGAAGGGACTGCTGAGCTGTGTCCCTGCAAACCACCTGCTTTCTTAGTATTTCAGGGATAGTTCTCTTCTCTAGCCCCAAACATGCCTAAGCCACAGAGTGGGGTCCCCAGACAAGCGTGTCCTTCAGACCCCGTGTTCTCCCTCAGACCTTCCTCATTCTTTGCGTTCTCAGCACTTCTGGATGCCCTTGGGTCATTCCCCACCTCCCACCCCACCACAGGCTTTCAGGGAGGGGAAATGAGCAGCACTGTGCTATAGCAAACAGAAGGTCCCTCCTTCAGGCAGATTTGTGCTTCCATTTTTATTATTTGATACAAGAATGGCTACAACAGTTCATTTTTTCTTTTCCATTAGCCTGGAATATCTTTTTCCATCCTCTCACTTTCAGTTTCCTCTGATCTTTGTTGGTGAGATGTGTCTCCTGTAGGCAAGGGTTTTGTATTTGATCGAGTCCTCTAATCCATGACACTTGATTGATGAGCCTGAGCCATTTACATTTGGGTTAATATGGATATGTGGTAATTTGGTCCTATCATTTTAGCAATGGATTGGTTGTTCCTTGTTTGATTTAGTCTTTTGTTTTATTGGTCATTCTATGTTTACCATTGGCTTTGGTGGGTGCTATTCCTTTTCTCTGCAAAGAGAACATCTTTAAGTATCGACTATAGGGTAGATCTGGAAAAGGTGTATACCTGGAATTTTTCTTTACTGTGGAAGAATTTTATTTCATTTTCAAAGACAAAGGAGAGATTTGCTGGGTACGTTATTCTGGGTTGACAATTTTTTTATTTTTACTTATTTATTTTTTAAAGATTTATTTATTTATTGGAAAGTCAGATATACATAGAGGAAGATCTTCCATCTGATGATTCACTCCCCAAGTGACCGCAATGGCCAATGCTATGCTGGTCCGAAGCCAGGAGCAGGAACTTCTTCTGGGTATCCCACACGGGTGCAGGTCCCTAAAGCTTTGGGCCGTCCTCCACTGCTTTCCCAGGCCACAAGCAAGGAGCTGGATGGGAAGTGGAGCTGCTGGGATTAGAGCCAGCGCCCATATGGGATCACAGTGCGTTCAAGGCGAGGACTTAAGCCACTACTAGGCCATGCCACCGGGCCCAATTTTTTCTTTTTAGAATCTGGAATATGTCACTCCATTCTCTTTTGGCCTGTAAAGTTTCCACTAAGATGTCAGCTGTGAGTCTGATTGGCATTCCTCTATATGTCAATTGATTATTTTCATGTGCATATTTAAGGATCTTTTCCCTGTGTTCAACTAAAGAGAGCTTGATTATCATGTGTCATGGCAAAGACTGTTTTTGGTCAACACTGTTAGGAGTTTTGTGTTTTGTTTCCCAATTCTTTCTCCCAATTAGGGAAGATTTTATTTATTATTCCACTGAATATATTTTTAATCCCAGCTTCTCTTTCTGTGCTTTGTGGAACTCTCATAACTCTTATAATCATCCTTATAATAGTGCCCCTTAATTCTTGAATACTTTTCTTAGCTTGACTCAGTTTCTCTTCCAGCCTTTTGGTTTTCACCCCATTGTTGAAGAAAGTGTCCTCCAATTCTGAGATTCTTTCTTCTGCCTTGCTCATTCTATTATTGAGGCTTTCCACTGAGTTTTTAATTTGCTTCCTCCATTTCTAATAATTCTCCTTGATTTTTTTCAGTGTTATTTCCTGTGTGACATATTCCTTAAATTCCTTGAATTCCTGTACATCCTTCTCATTTTTAAGAAGCTTTATAACAAATTTTCTAAATTCTTTATCCCGCATGACTTGATGTCTTCCTCAGTTAACTTAGAGGTTAACAACAGCTTTTGTTCCTTTCCAACAGAAGCATCAGTAATATTCATTGTCTCCGTCTCTTCTTTTGCTCTTTGTCATTGCTATTCCCATGAGCAGATTCCTCTCCTTAGACCCAGGTTTTAAGCTGTGTTGCCCCCTGGTACAGGTTAATTTTATAGATTGCATTCAGTACCTGGTTCTTCATTTGCAGTCACTTGTGCTACTCCCTCCAGTGAGTTTCAATCCAGGGCTCTATGGTCTCTGCAGCCCCAGCTCCTGGCTCACCACTTTCTACCCCCTCTGACTCGATCCTGTGCTGTGGCCACACCGCTGCCTGCATAGCCTTTTCCCACTCCCAGCTTGAGCAGTGCCCAGGATTAGGGAGAAGCAAGCTGTCTTAAATCACTGGGTTGTCAGCAGTGCTGGTCTTGCTGGAACCTGCAGGTTGTTCGGTCTTAAGGCCACTCAGACCTGTTTTGGATGGAACCCATACGATGCCAAGTTGGTACTATTTTTCTTGTTAGAATGTGTTGCAATGTGCTGAGCCAGAAGTGAGTTTTCTCCTAGTTCTGCACCTGTACAGCTCGCTGTTGTTCCTTAAGCCCGACAGCCCTTTCCTTAGTACACAAAATGGTGCCCTATGTGGCACCAGTGGGGGTCTGAGCCATGAAATCCACCCTGTTCCTGTACTCGCCTGCTTGGAGTTTATCATCTGCTTCTGCTTGTGCTCACATCAAGCAAGCCAAGTGGACGAGCAGTTCAATGTCTGAGTTCACCTCCTGAGTTCCCAATGAACTCCCCTTCCTACCTGGCTGCCAGTAGAACACCAAGCGCTGACAGCCACTGGGGTATCTGGTCACTGCAATACTGCTCTGCTGTCTCTGCTTCACTGTGTCCATGGGTGTCCAGGTGACCTTGTGCCATCAGCCTGTCTTTTCCTATTTCCTGGGATCGTGGCCTTTCTGCTTCACCCTGGCTAATGATTCTCCATCTATTTAAACGTGTCCTTCCATCATCTTGTTCTTGCTGTGCTTCCTTCTGTGAACCCATTTAATGCCGGCCTTTTCTTTTTTGAGTTTTTACTAGTGCTTTCCCATAGTTCTAGAAATACAGTTTGACTTTGAAGCACCCAGGGAGCTCTTAAAAATGCGTAAGATCCGGGACCAGCATTTTGATGCAGTAGGTTCAGCACCTGCTTGCTACAAAAGCAGTTCATACTGGAGTACCAGTTTGTGTCCTAGCTGCTCTGCTTCTGATCTAGCTCCCTGGGGGAAGGCAGTAGAGGATCCTTGCACCCATGGGAGACACCAGAATGAAGTTCTTGGCTCCTAGCTGTGGCCTGGCCCAGCCCTGGCTGTTGGGGGCATTTGAGGAGTGAACCAGCCAAAGGAAGACTTCTCTCTGGTACTCTGTATACGCTTGAGAGCTACTGAAGTAAGGCCTATGAATCTGTTTATTTTAAGCACCTCCCTTCTTCCCAATGACTCTGACACAATCAGTCCATGGATGAACATTTGGAAGTCATTAGAATTTAATTGTAGAATAGGGTATATACTGTTCAATAATTAAAAATCATCAATAAAAGAAGATTTGATCCTGCTTTACCAAGCACTTTGTGGAATACTAACACAGTCACTCTTAACCTTGACTTGTCATAGGAGTCTCCCAGAAAGCTTTTGGGAGACACTGAAAAGACGGGTGCCTGAGTCTAAAACTTAGTGACTCTGACTCTTGTGGTCTGTGCAGCGGCCTGGCAGGAGGATTATTCCATCAAGAGTGAATTTCCAGGAGCAGGTGCATACTTTATCCTCCTTCTTCCTTTCTCTCCAGAGATTTCTGGGAAGGAGCCCACCTGGAACTTCTGGAAGTACCTGGTGGCCCCAGATGGAAAGGTAATCGGGGCCTGGGACCCCACTGTGTCCGTGGAGGAGATCCGGCCCCACATCACAGCGCTGGTGAGGAAGCTCATCCTACGGAACCGGGAAGACCTCTAGCCATGAGCCCTCTTCTCCCAGCCACCTGTGCCGCCATGACCAAAGCAAACCAAAGGTGCTTCAAGGGAGACACCCACTGGGTCTCCTTCATTCCCTCTTACTCCACCCAACCCAGTACTCTTGGAAGGCAAAAATGCTGGTGATTTGAAGATTTGAATCTTAGAGCAACCACTAGGAGTGCTGGCCAGTGAGAGCCCTGGACCAGTGAGTCACTGGCCAGTAAGAACCTCTAACCAATGAGAATCTGTGGCCATCAGAAGTATATGAAGCAATAACCTTCCACTCAGTGAGACCTGTAAAATGGGCCAATGCCTACCTCACAGGGCTGTTGTGGGGACTAGGATAAAATACCTATGGAAGTGTCGGGCTGTGCTAACTAAATAAGAGAAATTCAATAAAGATTTTTTGCATATAAACCAAAACAACTTGTGATCAATAAAAACTTGCACCCAACATACATTTCCAATGGGTATCTAAAACAAAAATTTGTTGTCTTCCTCTCTATTATTTTTTTAATTATAAAAAAAAAAGTTGAGAAGAGAGGCTCCCATCCTAGTGACAGGAGGGGGTTCTGAGATAGAAAGGACCCTTACCCCCTGCTATAGTGGCAGGAGGAAAAGTGGAAAAAAGTGGGGAATGCACCTTTTAAAGGTTTACTTCAAAGGGGCTCCCCAAGACAAAAGGAAATTCCTGGTCCCCCTGGTATTTGGCTTTGGGGCAAAGGACCAGACAGGTGTCAGACACTGGACATTTCTGGCCTTGGGAATAGGAGTACTACACTTCCTCCAGTCCTCTTTTCAAGAAGACAACGATGGAGCTCCAGTTCCTGGCTCCAACGCGGCCTAGCCCTGACCACTGTGGCCATTGGAGAGTAAAACAGCAGATGGAAGATATGTCTGCCTCGCTCTCATACACTGCCTCCCCCTTTGAGGAGGAGCGCTCTGTAACGCTGTCTTTCAAAGAAATAAGTAAATCTTAAAAAAAAAAAAAAACACCTCAAAGGATATGGATAAGTCATAAAATATGCAAATAAAATGGACATGTTTTCATGTCCAGCCTCATTAGATTGGAAACATTTTTAAAAGGTTTATTTATGTATTGGAAAGGCAGATTTACAGAAAGGAGAGCTACACACAGAGAGATCTATCTGCTGGTTCACTCACCAAATGGCCACAACAGCCGGACCTGAACAGATCTGAAGCCAGGAGCCTCTTTCAGCTCTCCCACATGGGTGCAGGGTTCCAAGGCTTTGAGCCATCCTCCACTGCTTTCCCAGGTCACAAGCAGGGAGCTGGATGGGAAATGGAGTGGTCAGGGTACCCATAAGGGATGCAGCTGTTTGCAGGCAGATGATTAGCCAATTAAGTCTGCCCCACTCCTCCATCACACCTATCTGGCTCTGGCCCCTCCCAGGCCCTCAGAGCCCACGTCAGAGGTTGGGCTACTTGAGCATTTAAGGAGCTGACCGGGGAGAAGGTAAGGAACCAAAGCTGAGAAATGGCCCAGCAGGATTTGAGCCCAGATCCCCCCTGCACACACTCAAAGCTAGGGGAGGTGGAAGCATTGGGGACACAGAAGCACCACATTAACTACTTCCTGCTCTATCCATCGCTGTGAGGAAAGCAGATAGTCCAGGCTGGGAAGGGCTGCACCCAGAGTCCTTAGGGGTCACCTGTCCCTGTGGGAAACCGAGATTCTCCCAGGCTCTGCTTCTCTGCGCCTGAGGGTGGTGAGGAGGGCGGGGAGAACTCTGCCTGGTGGTCCAGAAGAAAATGAAGAAGTCTGGTTTTCCGCTGCCAACTGCAACCCCGCCTCCGTCGGCGCTCCCCGATGCCCCGCACAGCGCTCTGCGTGCCTAGAGGTCCCGCCCCGGCCCGTGCCGTCTTGCCGCCTCTTTGTGCACCAACCCGGGAGCCCACCGGGACGCGCGCGCAGGCTGCTCGGGGCCAGCTCCTCCGTTCCCCGCGGCCCCGTCGGCTCAGCGGGTCGCCCCTCTCCGCCGTCGCGCGCCCCGGCCGGCCGGCTCCAGTCCCTGCCCGCGCTCTCCACCCACCGCGCCTCGGCTCACACGCACCTTGGTGGCATGGCGGGCCCAGCGTCTCGGCCGCCGCAACCACTCCGCGCGTCTCTGTCTCGGACGCCTCTGCCTTGGTGAGAGGCTCGCTCTGTCCGGGGGTCGCGGGGGCGGGGCGCGACGAGCAGGAGGTGGGCCAGGTGGCCGCGGTCTTGGTGCTGCGGCTTCCACGACCACAAGTACTGCTGCTCTGACCCGCACAGCTTCTTCCACTACGAGCACGAGCACGGCTGCAGGTGGTGGCTCAGGTGCTGGCACCGGCCCTAACCCCCACCTTCAATACCGACCCCGGGCTAAGCCTCAGTCAGCCCTCAGCACCCACCCAGCCGTCCCCCGTGGACTTCCTTCTCACTCTCCTCATTCCAGCTCTGGTCCCGCATCCGGACCCCAACCCCTGAGACCCATGCTAGAACCTCATCCTAACTGGACCCCCCAAACCACCATCTGCACCTGCCTGCATCTCTACCAACCCTGATTCTTAGCAATGTCCACAGGCCCACCCAAACTCTACTCCCAGCCAAGTGGTCCTTTCTTAATATCAACACCAGCTTCATCACTGTCCCTGTCCACACCCCAATACTGGCCCCAGCCCCATCCTCCTGCCCGCCTTCCCTTCTCAGCTCTACTCCAACATCCTGATTTCAAAAGTTACCTTAGACCTACACCCAACCTCAGCCTCAAACCTTGCTCCTCGGCTTATGCTCCATCCCTACTCCTAGTGTCAACCCTTCCCTGTTTGCTCATTCCTGCAGCTGCGTGCCAAGCCTGGTGGTAAGTGCTGGTCATGGGTCCCACCCCTGGGGGAAGAAGAGGAGAGGAGCTGCCTCCAAGCCATCATCAGATAGTGGCATGGAGCCGCAGCAGGACCTGGCTCTGGCCATGCTGCCCGGGAGTGCCCTGGGCATGAATCCCCACCCTTGGGAGCTCAGCTAGCCCGCTTGTTGGGGCAGAGTTGGCTAGGCCAACTCTGACAATTTCTGGAATCTCTGCAGATGCCCCTGGGTCTTCAAATGTCACACCTGGAGAATGGGGCCTGATCCTCAGCCTGCTCCGGGAAAACAGAGTAGGCCATCCCAGCAGGCAGCGAGTTCCCTGTCCCTGGGTTTCAAGTGCCCACAGACCTCTCTGAGTCTCCGTCTCTTTATCTGGCAGAGGAGGAGAGTCCGCAGTCATTGCCCTGATGTCCATCTGAGGTCTTCTACCTTGGGGTGGGAACCTTTTTTTGTTTTGTTTTGCCAAGGATCGTTTGAATATTTATAGCATCCTTCATGGACCATATGAAATTACCAATTTTTAGTCTGCTATAGATATATTAGATTAAAAAAAAAGATTTATTTATTAGAAAGGCAGATTTACAGAAAAGGAAAAACAGAACGATCTTCCATTTGCTGGTTCACTCCCCAAGTGGTCACAGTGGTCGGAACTGAGCCAATTTGAAACCAGAAGCTTCTGGGTCTCCTGTGTGGGTGCAGTGTCCCAAGACTTTGGACCATTTTCTGACTGCTTTCCCAGACCTCAAACAGGGAGCTGGATGGGAAGCAGAGCAGCTGGGACACAAACTGGCACCCATGTGGGATCCCAGCGCTTGTAAGGTGTAGATTTAGTTGCTAGGCAATCGCACTGGACCCAGATATATTGGATTTCAAGTCCTGCCTGCTGTTGCCTTGTCAAGGTCAGACCCAGTGATTTCAGGGCTCTTGAATGGTCCGCAGGCCGGGTGTTCTATACTCTGTTAGCAGTGACAGACAGGTTTAAAGCAAATTGCCTAGGACTAGATGCTTTGGGCGTTCCCAGCCTTGGCCTGTATGAGAAGGCTTGAGCGACATTCAGTCATCACCAGTGTGAAGAGACGGCTGTGCTGGCCTGGCTGGTCCTGAGCCTGGGCCTGTTCTGCTCTGCTACCATCTAGATCTAGCCTGAATCCCCTAATAGAACCTGATCTAGTCAGATAATTAAAACAAACAAACAAACAAACAAACACTTCTGATCCTGTGTTGTCTTCCAGACACTGTGCTGTCCTTCAGGGACACAGAGATGAATAGTAACTCCATCTCCAGCCAGAGGTCCCCTTTCCTCTGCCATCACTCCCTTCGTTCCACATCTTTTGTGGTCCCTTCTGTTGCCTTGGAAACCTCCATGCGGAATGTTTCAGCTGGAGGGCTGAGGGGCGGGGTACTGGGGAGGGTGATGTCTGCGGTCACATCGTGTCAGTGTGACCCCAAAGGCAAGCTGAGGGTTCTGACATGTAGGGCAGTGCCTCCTGGGGTCAGTCCTAACACAACTCATGAACATTACAGACAGCATCCACAGCCTGTCCTAGACCCAGAAGAGGGCACCTGCCAATGTCAGGATGTCCAGGTCATTGGAGTGCTCTCACCCTGGCACTGGGCCTTCTGGCTTAATTCTGGCAGAGCCCCTGCCAGCGGGGAAGGCAGACCTTGCTTTGCTTCCAGTTCCAGTTGGCGCTGTTCTTGGAAGGCTGTCTCCAGGTGGGTACCGTTTCCTTGGTGAGAGAATGCTGAAGGAGAGCCGCCTTCTGTAAGGCCTATCTTGGGCAGAGAGGACGCCCTGTAGAAAAGCAGCTGGCACCTTCACATAGCCTGGTCCACGGGCTCTGTACTCTCCAGCATGAGTTCTGGTTTTCACCAAGGTGTGAACCGGCAGCAGCAGCCTTGCTGGAGGGCACAGTTGCTGGTCAGGGCTGTACATACTATCTTATGGCAGCCTGATGGTTGCCTGGTAAGACAGGAAGAAAAAGACATTTTTGTTTGTTTGTTTAGCATATGAATGGCCGGTATGTATGGCTGGGATTGGAATTGGGAGTTCCCAGAGTCCAAAACCTTTGTTCAATAGGATGGCCCTCCGGTTCCTTCCTAGGGGAGCCCCAATGGGCTGTTTTGGTCTTTCAGAGTCAGACGGTGCAATCTGTGAAGGCTAGAGGTGCACCCCTGTCCAGCTTCCCTCCCAGGGCAGGAATCCCTAACATCATTCAAAGGGGTGCTCACCCGCATGGGTGAGATGCACACACAGAGTCCTGTCAGAGGTTACTGGTGCCTCTGCTAACTCTGGTCATGTGTGGTTCGTTTCATACCAGGTCCATTGCTGTTTATAGGGACAGTGATTTCAGAAAGTGCCAGTGGAAGGCAGGGAAGTGAGATGACAAAGGGAGGAAGCCCACAGTAGGTGTTAGGCACAGCAATACGCATTAAAGCTCACCCAAGCCTCCACTCTGCCAGCCGGGAGAGGCCGGGCACCTGCAAGTTAGTCTCTCTGAGAACCAGTTTCTGTGCACCATTGACTGAGGGCCAGCAGGGAAGAAGGGAGACATGAATTATCCCACCC